AATGACCTTGCTGCAGAAGCATTTCTCTGAGTGGCATTTTTCCCTCTGAGGTCTCTCTGCTTCGTGAAGCAACCACAGCTCTGGTGCCCCTTAAGCCCCTATGACACCTCCTGAGATGGCTTAATAACAAATAAGAGGTTTGCTATGGATAGTTCCCAGGTCTTACCCATCCTTCAGTCTGTCTGTCTGCCTCCTGGTCCAGCCACACAGGACCCAAGTAGTTCAAACAAAGATTATGGAGGAGGCTTTTAGTTACTTCCTGACAGCAGCAGGAAATGATAAGTCATCATCATGCCTGTTGTTTCTTAAAAAAAAAAAAAAAAAAAAAAGCTGAACTAGCAGCTCTGGAAACACGTGCCCCTTTTTATACAGACTTGGTCTTCTATGTAATTCTTTATTGTTTCTCCACTTAATGGCTTGTACAACCACAAATGTCAGCATTTCCCTACTCCTTACAGGAAACATGATCACATATGCTGAGCTGCGCGTGAAGCCGAAACCCAAAGAGAGCTGCAGATCAGAGACTTCCGCTTCTGGTAGTGTGCTATTTTGTTTGGTTGTTGGTTACTAATTATAGTTTTAATCTTTCCTATTACCAAAGAGTAAAACCTGTTATCAAGAGTCTACACATACAATCTTGTAATAAAGAACTGATGTTATCATTCCATACATTTTTTTTGCTGGGTTCTTAGGTTATACAGTTTCCTTATAAAAACAATATTGAGATAGATTTTCCAAAGAATTTTAAAAAAATGCCTTCATGTCCTACATTGAAAACTTAGCAAAGGAAAGTAAAATTCCACATTGTTTTTTAGGAACCGTCCTGACAGGGTCTCTGCAGGAACAGTCACAGGGACACACTTGGCTTTGGAAGTAGCGTAATACACAGCTCTCTAGGTGCAGTCAGTGCACTGATGACTGCCACCCTCTCTGTACTGAAGGACGTACGCCAGACAAGGTCAGGACCACAGAATTTTGTGAGCTGGAAAGGGACATTACAAAATACATCTCAGGCAGCTAGAGAATGTGGCAGTTGCTCTTCTCACGCAGGCAAGGGCAGGAAGACAGCAGCTATGAAAGTGCAACCCTGTGGCTTGTGGAAATGACACCTTGACCCCAAATTTCCTTGGGGCCTGCCTCTCCCTGTTTCACTCTCACAAGCTGATGAATGCCAAATGGCTGGAGAGATGCTTGGTCGGATGTACTTCCGTGTGCTATGGTGTCAGCATGTGATTTTTTGCCTTTTCTGTGCATTCAGGTAAGTTAGCTTTCAGCCACATGACAGGCACAGTAACACAGGAGAGTGTGACCAGAGGGGAAGAACATACCACAGACCATCCCTGATACTTTGCAGGGCCTTGCAGGGTGCGGGTGGGTAGGTAGGAAGAGGCAACACTTGAAAAAATTAACTCAAAGGAGAAAAAGAGAATTCTTAATGGAATGATTGATTGGAAATCACTTGCTTTATCTGACAAAATGATATTTCGATTTCACTTTCATGTATGCAAAATGGATGCAAAGTTTTAATAAGTAAAATGTCCCCACATCAAACAGCAGAAACTAGCATACATAAAGGCAGTGTTAATTTTAATATGTGCAAAGACCTTAAGCCACTCTTCCTCCTGCCTCCCTCCAGGCTCCCAACATAGGCACTCAGCTGGGTTCTACGTGGCGCTGGTCCTGGGAGTCCTTGTGCTCGTCCTGCTAGGTGTCATAGCCGTACTAACCAAGCAACGTGAGTAGATCTTACCATCTGCTTCATCTCTTCATGGCAGACATGGTTAAGCCTCACAAGCAGAGCGATGCCAAAAGAAAAATTCCCTTCATGTTGCATTAAAGGTGTCAAATTATACAAAAATACAGAAAAATAAATGTAGCATTCCAATTGGAACATTTGCTACCTGTCATTTAACATATATAGCACAGACGAAGTGGAGCTGCTGCAGTCTACCTTGTGTCATCAGTGATGCTGAAAGGCTGTAGAAGCAGATTTCAAATCATTATGACAGTCAAAACATATGGTGTTCCTGACTTAGAAGTTGTATCTATGATGCTACTTTGAGACCATTTCACTTCATTACTTTGTAGGTTTGAACAAGTGAAAATCAGACTTCAGGTCATTTCATTTAATCAGACTTCTCTGGTACTCATGATATAATCCACAGCGTGCTCCACTTATATGAGAACTGTTCCAGTGAAGATACTAATTTCCTAAGAGAAAACAATCTTGAAAAACTTCAGAAAACACACGTACCTCCCAACCCTCCCTAAAATCTCACCAAACTGTTGTGTATTCTTTATATATAAAACTATAAAAAATTACAAACTCATATTGTTTGCCTGTACTGTCCATATTATTCAGCAGCTACACCCTTTGCCAGACAGTTATACTCACGGAGTATGCTTATAACTGAGGGTGTATACCCCCTCCAACGCATACACACACACACCCCCTCACATCCCCAGTATAACACTGGATACAGAGACTACATTTCCTTGACCCTGTTATTAACCATCATCTCTTTTTTTGTTGTTGTTGTTCAAGTTTTGAAGGGCAGAGCAGGAAAATCAGAAAGTTTGCCCCAGTGTGGTCTAAATAGCACTGGCAATAATATTTCTTCAGAGAAGACTGTCTCGGTGGTGCTCCTGAAATGGCTCATGGAGGAACTGTGTGAAGATGGACAGGGTGAGGAAAGTTAGTCCTTTCACAGCATAGAGGACATTTTATGTGCACGCTTTTCTTGTCTTTGTTCCCATTTCTATGACACCCTGCAGTTTCTGGGAACTCACCAGTACTACCCAGGGAGCATGGTGTTCCTGCACAGAAGTGATGACAGGATCTAAACTAACATTTTAATGACAACAGTTTTGCTCATCTTCTGGTATAGTTTCTGGTACTTTCTTTATATTTATTTCTGACAGGAACTGCTGTTAGAAAGGCCATATATTGTAGATCCTCCCCATATCCTGGACAACACTTTCCAGACAATAATTGTTTGCAAAGAGGGGGAGGGAGTTTAGCTTTCCCATCCTTTTGGAAGGATCAGGCAGGGGAAGGCTTACCTGGTCTTTTTATTGTGGATCTATTATTTTTTGTCAAATACTAATGCTTTTCTAAGTACTGATTGTAATGATGTCACTTTGAAACATTAGGGGAAGCCAAGACGGAAAATGTGGGGGAATATTCCTCCTAGATGCTCTGTGTGAAATGTGAAGTAGACCTGGGAATAGACATGTTCCCCTTGTTTAACACTCCTTCTCCAGCTCCATAGACATAGTTTGGACATCATCCAAGTGCCTGTGCTTTCTGGTCACATCGTGTCAAATCCACACACTCCACATCGCATCGCATTGCGTGGTGTCTTCTCACAAGGGCTGTATGTGGGAGGACAAAAAGCTCTCTAGGTCCTCCCAGTGCTCTCTATGGGGCAGGTGCACAGGGAGCTGGAGAGCCCAATTATGTGCGTAGCACCATGGCAAGGGAATGGGAAGCTGAGAAGAGGGGCGACACTGGAGCCTTCACACCTCTCTCCACACCCAGCAAACACATGCTTGAGAGTCGGGACTGGCTGCTTTTGGACCAGCCAGCCAGGCCCATGAACATAAAACGCTGCAAGGCAACTAGAACGAGTCACAGTGCGAGCTACTGATTCTCTCTCTCCACCCACAGGAGCAACATGCAAGCTGTGTCCTCCTGGGTGGCAACTGCACAGGGGGAGATGTTACTACTTCTCCAAGGAGGCTGTAAGCTGGGAAGACAGCCAGAGAAACTGTCTGGCCAGGAAATCCCAGCTTCTTGTCATTGAAGATGAAATTGAGATGGTGAGTCTTGCAGCAGCCCTAAAATTGTGCGACAGGCATCTGCCTTAGCCAAACATTTCACTAAGTGAATATAGCCCAGATGTCAGGTATACACGAAGGCAAGCAGGAGCCCCATCAAGTGCAGAGCATCTGACTCTCCACACACAGGAACTTGTTTTGAGAGCGTCAAGAGTCAAGCTGAAAAGTAGAAGCACAAGAGATGAAAGTGTGGAAGTCAGAGTAGTTTTGACTGGGAGAAGGAAATGCTGGGAATGTCCCACCCATTTCCATTACTTGGCACTGGGAAGAAAGGTCTGATTCAACCACTAAATAGAAATTCAAACAGCCAAACCTCCTCATTTTCCTTTGGGAAAATGAATAGGAAGGTATCACTGAATGGCTCTTCTGAGAAATTCATTGTTCCCTGAAGAACAGCTCTTTTACCTTAAAGACCAGGTTTAGCAACCTGGCTCATTAGGGTGAGGAGCATCACTGAGGGGTTTTTTTTTTGACAGCTGCCAGGAAGACAGTCAGCCTGAGCACCAGCCTCAACCAGAAGTCTGTGGCTGGTCCCGTGTATGGGCTGTTATAACGCCCAGCTGCTTTGACACAGCTGGATCCCTGCCCTTGCTCTCCATGTGAGGGACTACATGAAAAGCTGGGCATGAGGCAGGACAGCGACCTGAGCATAGCAGGAAAGCTCTGCTGTTGGGTAACATGCTTCTACTTGTTCCACAGGAATTTATAGACAATGTAGAGAAAGATACCAAATATATCTGGATTGGGTTGAAGAATCAAGACACGAAGAAACAATGGAGTTCAGCTGAAGATTATGGAGTAAAAGAAAACAGGTGATGATTTGTGGAGGGACGTGTCTTTGGCAATAGCAAAATTATGGTACTCTGCACAGAAATACAGATCTGAATCCAAGCTAATTTTGCAAGGCACAGATCTAGTCCTGCAGCCTCAGGCACCTGCTCAGGGTCTGTTTCACAGCCAGTTCCAGGTTAACTGGTTCCTGCTGGGCACCTTTGGAAACAGATTTGTTTTCTGCCTGCAAGACCAAACAAAGTCACAGTTCATGTATGTCTTAATGCAGAGGGACATGAATACACACTTCTCCCACGGAAATAACTGTCAACAAACTCTCTCACTTTACAGACCATGTGGTGACCGCCTCTGTTGAATGTGATGCCTGTCACCTAGCATGGGTGCTGGGATCTGTGCAGCTGAAGGGTCCTTCCCCTCCCTCTTAACCACTTATAGTTCAGCATTGTGGCCGCGTGGGGAGGTTTTCTCATCCTTCCCACACTAATGTTCCTGAGCTTCCATCCCTCAGCAGCCAGCAGTCTCTGTTGCGGGTGCCCATCCCACCTGTGCATAGCTGGTGAGGAACTGTGTTTCAGTGGGTTACCAAATGGGCGTCACCCAAAACCCTCACTCATGATATTGTTCAGATTTTTTATCCAGTACTGAATTTAAAGCTGACAACTCATTTGCATGCCTTTTGCTCTCTCAACAGGATAGCTATTAATAGAATGGAGACTGACAAGAACTGTGCTGTATACAGAAGAAAAAACATGATCCAAGCAGATAACTGCCAGACTTTCAAGAAGTGGATCTGTAAGAAGAATGCAACTTTGTTGGTGCTCTGAGCCAAATTGTCAAACAACAGGCCTAGCTTTTTGTCTGAAGACCTATTTCACTGATAAAAAAACATGTGATGTAAATAATTTTGAGACTTGCACAGAAACGTGCATTTCGCTGTTCTGTGCTCCCTAGGACTTGGTCTGACGCAAACAGGGAACTCTGAGGTTGCCAGGTGTCAGTGTGAAGGTCATGCAGTAGGACTGCAAGTCAGCATGTGTGGATTTGGGGGTGCCGAGCTTTTCTGTGGACAGATGTTGGCAGTAGCTGCCTCTAGGAATGGGCAGGGGAAAAGAGGCATTGGTGAGAATGAGCGCTGTGCACATGAACTGCATGACGTGTAGGAAAGATGCTACCTGCGGGGGCTGAAGAGTGTCTTGGAGCCTGCTGCTGTCGTACATATCCCTCAGTCAGGCACTGCTGAGCTGAGGCATTTTTTTATTTGGGTTACAATATTTTAGTGTTTTCTGAAGTTTGGGGGTTTTTTCCTTGTAGTCTAATTGCGACTTAGAGAAGCCACTTGAGGGCTGGGAAAAATGCATTTATTAGGCAGTGTCTTAGACTTATTCAGAGCTGACCTGAACAGCTACTGGTTATACAGATACTAGGTCACAAGTGACTCATAGCATTTGTGGTTAATAAGGTGATGGTTCCCATCTTCTTCTGATGCTGAACCTTGAGATCCAAAAGCAAGCTCTTAAGTAGGGAAGGGGCTTGGACCACAGGTCAACATTGCAGTGCAAGGAAATTAGATGATAGCCTGCATTTCCAACTATATTTTATCCCTTTACATTGCAAATTCTTTAATGTGGAACCACAGTAACTGCCTGGAAGGTATGATGATGAGATACTGAAGCTAAATGCTGGTGAAATTAATGCCTGTGGGTGCACTCAGTAAATACATTACTTGGGCATCAAAGTGTTATGGATATACCCTATTTCTGGATCTAGAATACAAAAATACTAAGAACAGTTGGGCTTAGTGCCTTTATTAGATTAATATATTTGAAAAAAAAGTACAAATGTCATGAATTGATTTTTAAGAAATGAAACACATCATTTGTTTCAGATTTTAAAAACACCTTAGTCTAATAAAGGTTAATAACTCCTCCAGATCTGTAGCTAGCCTGTGTCTTTAAAATCAGAGTGACAAATGCAAGGCAAATGTTTGCAACATTACTGAGATATTTCCAGTGACTTGTATTGCAACGGTGAGGAAACCAAGTGATGTGTGAACAGGGAAATTAAAAAAATAACATAGGGGACAATGGAAGTGGAGATGTAACAATAATGTTTTCTGTCTGTTTGCAAATCATGTACCTCCTCTTGGGTATTGCCAGGGCCCTGAGCACTCTAATAGGCCTTAAGTGTTCTCACCAGACTCTCCTCCTGAGACTCACTGGGTCTTCAGCCTCTGCCTGAGCTCTGTCAAAGACATACCTGCCTCCAGCCCTGTCCCATCTCCTGGATGGGACATCCGAGTCTTACCTACATGAGAGATTGAACAATTCAGCTGGTAACTGAACCAACTTTTTCATTGAAAAAAGTATCAAACACTTCTGATGCGAAAGCTAATACTGAGAAAGCTTAATAGTTGGTCCCCCTTCTCTGAATCTCTAGTCTCATATTCTCAGACTTTGGGGCAAAGCACTCTCACACTTTCATACAGCTATCTCGCAAAGGTGTAAAATCTACTTCTCTGTGTTTACAGACAGGGTTTCTTAAGTAAATGTTCATTTTGCCCACTATAATTCAATCTCAGGTAAGATCTCTTCAAATGCCCCTGAAGTTAGCTTTCCACAATACGGTGTGCTTTCCACAATAAGAAGCTGAATTCTTACCTCATTTCATAGAATGATGCAATAATTTATAGCAGAAGGGACCTCAAGGCCCTTTCGGGGCCAGTCAGGGAGAGTTTCTGAGTTTCCAGAGTTTTACTATAATTTTATGTACTTTTACGTTAGCCATGTGGGGTTACATGTGTTTGGAAGAAGAAAAAACCCCACAAAACAAAACCTAACATTAAAGCCACGGTGCTACTCTAACAAAAAATGAAAATTGGAATTAAAGTCCTTATTACCAATGAGAGAGAGAAATAAGTCCAATGTGGCTTTTGAAATGTAGAGCCTTTATCTCATCTTTGCTAAGATACACATAATTAAAAGCAGCTGCAGTTTCCCTGCGCTAGATGTCTAGTGTCCGTATGGAGGGCTGTGGTTAATTCTCATCTTTGCTAAGATACACATAATTAAAGGCAGCTGCAGTTTCCCTGCGCTAGATATCTAGTGTCTGTATGGAGGGCTGTGGTTAATCGTAGAATAATAAAATCATAGAATCATAGAATGGTTTGGGTTGGAAGGG